TTGTTGTTGCAAACTACTATGTCTGGCTCCCTGTTTTTAGTTTAGTTTTATAGATTTGTTTTACTTTGGACACTTCTATATGTGGATTGCATTCTGGGAGATACTGTCATGTATATTAATTTCAGATTTTTGTTTGCTGTTGCTGGTTTTCTCTTTTGTGTTTTTATAAAGTTGGTCTAGTTTTGACAAATTCTTTTCATTTTCTGTTTACTGGAAAGATCCTAATTTCTCCATCATACTTGAGGGACAATTTTTCTGGCTATATGATTCTTGGTTGACAATTTTTTTTCCTTCAGAGTTTTATATATTTACATATAAAAAAGCTTTTGAAGTATAATAATTTATACATGTATTTATTCACTGCTAATGGTAAACTGTTTTTGATAAATTAGGTGTGGGAACATTACTTTTAAAGTAAAGCTAAATTCAAAAGGAATTTAACAGGATTCAAAAGGAAATCCTGTTCCTCAAGCTGCTAAGCATTAAAGTCTTCGTGGCATGCTCTAATGACTGGAGGAAGCTGAGTTCACATACCGTCTCTAGGGCTGAGGCCACCATTTCCTCTTCCTTGTGGGACTGAAGCTCAATCACCATGACGCCACTGTCAAAGACTCGGAGCCTGAAATGCAGATGTGAGAGCCAATAAGGAATCATCTACAGTCTTCAACCACTAAGGAGAAGCATATGCTTTTCATTTTCTCATATGCCCAGGTATGAGAGTACAATTAGCTCTCACACACACACCAAAAAAAAAAAAAAAAAAAAATCAGTGACAACAAGCAACTATGGCGTAATTTTAAAACATATGAGTAAATAGTAAAACTGAAAACTGGAGTTTATATGTTAAATAAAATATATGAGAAGTCAAAAAGTATTGCTACTAGGTTTCCAGTTCTTACATTCACAGATTTATTCCAAACAAAATGTGTTTAAACATGTCTCTGAGATTAGTGGATGGCAGCAGATAAATTCTCTCAGTAATACACTTGTCTTAGTCTCATTATGGGGCCTTCAAACAAAAGGTCTAATCAAACCAGTGGCTTGCAAGGGGATCTGCAAGATTAGTTAAATTCTGGGTAGAGAGGTTAACTCAGAAGGTTATGGTTAATGTTTTTTGGGGATTCTAAAGGCATAATCTTGATAGGTTTTCTAAAAAGGCACAGGACAATCACAGATTTATTAGGATAAAGTTTCATAAAATTGAAAAGCTGAATTAGTGAGAAAAAGGTCAGGAAAAGTTGCACTGAGGAATTATTTTTCCCATCGCAACAATGTACCTGCTCATTTTAAAGGGTAGCAAGAGTCATCCTAAGAGCTTTTCCATGGGAAACCTTACCTAATCCACCCATAGCACTCACTGATCTTGCCCCATCACACTTTAGTTTGTTCCCAAAACTCAAACAGCAATTAAAACGAACACAATTTGAGTTCCTAGAGGATACCAAAACTGCCATTATGACGTGGTGCAAACTGAATTGCACAGAATTCTTTGTGGAACAAAATACACCTTCAGAAGTGTATTTTGTTGTTGTTAAGTGCTGTTGAGTCGATTCTGACTCACAGTGACCCTCTATAGGATTTCTGAGGAAACCTATATAGCTGGTGGGTATGAACTGCTGACCTTGTGGTTTGCAGCTCAGTGCTGATCCTACAGTGCCACACCAGAAGTCTCGACCTAGATTAAAGATATGTCTACAAACAACAGCTTCACATTTTGACAATTTTGTTTAATAAAGGTTTCTGTGATTTTGCAGCAATACTTTTTAACTTATCCTTTTATGTTTCCCTAGAATTTTTTTTTTTCCCTAGATAAAACCGAAATACCTAAACACACCCCTGTCAGGTCAATTCAACTCACAGCAGCTCTACTGGACAGAGTAGAACTGCGATTCCAAAGCTGAAAATTGGGAGCAAATAGCCTCCGCTTTCTCTCACACTTGAGGAAAAGAAAAATGTAATTTTTCAGCTCAACATTCCCACTTCTGAGTCTCCAGACACTAGCGATTCACTGTGCAAAACAAGAGGGTCACAAAACAAGTAATCTGACCGCATGGGAGGAACCCACATTCTCAACTCACTGCCTCAAGTCGACTAGGCAGCTCTGATAATAAGGGAAGCCAGAACAATAGTGTCAGGTGACCACACAGAATACAATTACAGAAGGGCAGTCTCTCAGCTCACTGCACAGAACAGGCCTGGTGGAGCCTTGCGGTCTACCTTATGCAGAATTGTAGTGACAACTGACAAACGTCCTGTGGAGGTCCCTTTACCTGAGAGGTAATTTCAGCGCATCCAGCATCTTGCATGAATTCACTAAATCTTCTGGTGAAAGTAACTAATGGGGGGAAAAAATCCAATTTACACTACAAATTAACAGATTCATGCTATATAATTATAATGATCAAGAAAACAGAGAGGAAATCAAAACATTACTACTTATCAAGGATTTCAGAGGCTTACTCACCACAAATCAAAAGGATTAACAAACGAGCAAAAGACATCCATTAAGTAGTACAACAGTGCTATCCTACAGAAATACTATGGAAGCCACATATCTAATTTTAAATCTTTAACTAATCACATTAAAAAGGTAAAATCAAGAAGTGAAATTAATTTATAGATTGCAATCATGTGTTGCATAACACCTACGATACAGTCTGTGAAATAGGATGTTATGTGACTTGCATGTTGCACAAACACCATCCATACTATATATAAGGGTGCTTCAAACAGTTCATGGAAAAATGGAATTAAAATAAAATGGTAATTTTCCATGAATTTTTTGTGGCCCTCTCATAGTTAAAAACAGACAAGCTAAATTGTAAGCAATAGCATTCACTGATTTTCTACCTTCGTGCTGTTTACTAATCTTTTCTTTCACTTCTGAATCCATATTCTCCTCTGCCTCTTTCTGCTGCTCTCACTAGCACTGGTTTTGCTACATTTAGAAGTCATGATGCCTTTCATGGTAGTATTTTAGAAAGAAAATAAGAGAGAGACAACGCTACAATACTCAAGAGATGTGCGATAGATGAGAATGGGATCTTCTGCCTAGGAGTCAAATGTTAAATGGCAAACTTGTTATCTGTAAGTGGGAAAGCTTACATTAAATTATGGCAGAAAATACAGTACACACACATAAGCCAGTAACAAAGGCATTTATTAAAACTATCAAGAAATACATATTATTGGTTATATATGTACTATATTGAAGTCCTGATGTAGTGCTGGAAGATAACCGGACCGCTAACCTCAAGGTTGGCAGTTCAAACTCACCAGCCAGTCCTCAGAAACCATATACAGGATCGCTATGAGTTGGAACCAACTTGATGGCACTTAACAACCAGTGTACTATATGTACTATTATACGGCCAGGTGTGGTGCTGTAGAATAAGCACTGGACTAGCAGTGGTGACAGATGTATGTCATAGAGTTGGTTTCTGACTCATAGCAACCCTGCACAGGGTTTCTCAGGCTGTAAATCTTTACTGAAGCAGAAAGCCTCATTTTTCTTCCGTAGCACTGCTGGTAGTTTCAAACTGCTAACCTTAAAGTTAACAGCCCAACTTGTAACCACTATGCTACCAGAGCTCCTTAGCACTGGACTAGTAGCCGCAAGGTCGGCAGTTCAAACTATCATGGCTCTCTGAAACCCGAGTAGATTACTTTGAGTAGGACCTGACTCAACAGCACACAATAACAATTATACTCCTGGCAATAGATTGCTTTGTATACATGAGACACATGTGTGTGCACAGCATACTATATCCAGTCGTGTCCACTATGTCTCATTCGCCAACTGAGCTATAAGGCTTTCTGCTCCCGTAAAGATTTACAGTGTCTGACACCCTTTGCAGGGTCGCTATGAGTCAGAACTGACTCCACGGCACCAGCACCATTATAACCTTACAAGATCATAGGCATATATATAGTCGGATGTTGCAGTGCATGGCTGTGTGTGTATTTATATACATACACACATACGATATTTTAATAACATAATCCAATAGAACCTAAATAGTACCAATTCAACATATAATCAGTTAAGTGTTGTTGAGTCAGTTCTGAATAATGCGACCTGTGTAGTTTTCAAGAAGTGGTTTGAACCAACAACTTTGCAGTTAGCAGCCTAATGCTTATCCTATAACACCACACCAGAACGCCATATAAAGATCATTAATGATGTATTTTTTATGTTAAGTCTCTAAATCTAGTGTTCATTTTGCCCTTAAAGTACATCTGAATTTGGATTAGTGATATTTCAAGTTTGTAATAACCACATGTGATTATTAGCGACTATATTCAACAGTACATTGTAAAAGGGGTAGCATTTTAGCAAAATCCTAAGATTTGGCCACACAGTTGTGGGGAAAAGACAACGAGGCATAAAGAATTATACAAATAAATGCATGAAGTACAAAAGTGGAGGATCACTACAGAAAATAGTAAGTAGCTGAGCTGGCAGAAATACAGGGAAACATGAGAGAGTTCAGAAGGGTAAATTGCAAGACAGACATACAAGACAATAAGGCTACACCAAGGGAATTATTCTGCGGCCAATGAAAGCCTACTGAGAGTGCTGAGACTAGAGACTAATGAGAACTATGCTTTGAGAAGATCAATGTGATGGCAATGTAAGATTCATTTGAAAAAAGAGGGTGACTAGGAAGATTACAAGAACAAAAAGAGGTAGAGGAATAAACCTGTAAGAGCAAGCTTCATGGAGAGAATGAGTATATGAGTTTCCTGTGGCCGCTATATCGAAGTACCACAAACCGAGTGGCTGAAAACAACAGAAATGTATTCCCTCACAGGAGGCCTGGAGGCCAGAAGTCCAAGCTCAGGGTGCCAGCAGAACCATACTCTCCCCTCTGAAGGTACTAAGGGAGAATCCTGCCTTGCCTACCCATGACTACAGGTGGTTGCTGGCAATCCTTGGTGTTCACTGGCTTAAAGATGCATCCCTCAAATTTCTGCCTCCATCACTCATGGTGTTCTCTTTGTGTTTATTCTCTTCTTAAAAGGATACCAGTATGACCTCTTCTGAACTAATTATACCAATTATAGGTGGACATGAATTTTGAGGGATAGTATTCAATACAGTCCAACAAGAAACGCAGCTTGAGCTACGGCAGGACACTCAGAACTGAGCTGCTAGAGAGGCAGGCTGGCTTGAGAGTTACAAGAGTCAGCTTCTGAGGCAGCCAAACCTGGCTCAGAATCCAAGTGTGGCCTTTCGAAATCTCCATTTCCTTTAATTAGCTCCCTAATGGGGATAGTACCTCACTGAGTTATTTGGGAGGATAAGAGAACACATGCAAAGTGCTTGGCAGAGTGCCTGTAGAATATGCACGAACTGACAGCAGTTACTACAACTCAAATATAAACAAAGAGCAGAGGCTTAACTCAGGGGCAGAGCGAGTCATCTGCATGGAGGTGAATGTTGACACCACAAAACTGTGTTTGAAGGCTAGGGGAGCAAAAAGTACCTAGACAGAACATTGAAGGCAAAGGATATCTGGGTGTGAAGGGATAATTAGAGAGTTTACAGGCACCCACTGCTTGATATAAAGCTAAAAGAGCAGGCAGCATTCCAACTAAGTCAATTCCTTTGACATTTAACTATTACAGAGAAGATGTTCCAGTGTGGCACTGTGGGTTAATACACTGGACTGCAAATCAACTTGAACTACAGCATCATCAATTCAAGCTCTCCAGCCACTCCTTAGAAAACCGAAACAGGGTTGCTATGAGTCAGACCTGACTCGATGGCACTTAACAATTACAGAGAAGGAGTCCTGGTGTGGCACTGTGGGATAAAACACTGGACTGAAAGGTCTGTTTGAACCACAAGGTCGGTAGAAGAGAATAAACATCAGCTACTACTGGGAAACCCTACTCGAGGTTAAGTTATCTGTTCCAGGTCTCTCAGCAAATCACTGGCAAAACCAAGAACATAATCTACCTCCTGCATCCAAGGGAAGTATTCTTTTCACTGTACCACACTGCTTCTCAAAATAGCTTTGATATTCACACCCCTT